ACCCCAAAAAAAAAAAAAAAAAAAAAAACAGCGCCCCCAGTGCAGCCCAACCTGTCCCCCATTACTAACTATAACTAGATTTCTTTATGCCACTTTTGGTTCAAGGTTTTTTACTCACGTCCTGCAATTTTTTCTTTCTGTCCCATTTTCCTTCTTTTGTTTTTGGGCTACTACCTTGAACCCCATCATAACTGTGACCTCTTGGGCCAGATCCCATCTCTGACCCTGCTCCAGTGGGTTTTAGCAGAGGATACTACCTGGGCTCCTTTCTTTTCTCCATCCAGATTCTCTGAGGATTCCAGGGTCTGGAGCCAGTCATCCAAAGGGGTAGAATCCATTGGCTCTAAGAGATTGTCCATTCCCCACCTAGGAAGACAGCAGAGTCAGAGGAACGTGCAGCTCATTCAGACTCTCCCTTTTCAGCCAGTGAAAGCTAAACCTCTGCAAAGTGGGGAGAGGTAGGGCTTAGTCCACCACTCAGGGAAGGAACAAGGAATAGTAGTGCACACACCCCTCAGCCTGCAGAGGCTGGCTGGGGGGGTCCCAGGAATGTAGGGCTCTTCTCCACTGCCTGATCTGGGCATCCCAGGAGCGACGGCTGTACCTCCTGTTCTTGTTTGGTGTTTGAGGGTGAAGTCCTGGCTGTCGCTGTGCCCTGGCAACAACATACATGTCAGACTGAGGTCAAGGTGAAGGGGCACAGCTCACTGCTTATAATGATGAATTAGGAGACTCATTAGGGATTCTCTGATAATGAGGTAAGATCAATGCCCACAATCCAAAGAAAATCTTTAAATCAGATTAAACATCAAACTTCCCAATTCCCTAATATTCTTTCTTCTGGGAAGGGTAAATTAGATATTCCAACTCCCTCAGAAGTCAAGAGAGATATAAAAGAAAATATTTGACATCTCTTTAAAATACATTCTACCTTTTCATACATTAGTTTGTATGTATGTGTGTAAGCTTACATGTAATTAGGCAAGTATGTTGTAATTAGCCAAGTCAGATGGAGGCATGAGGTGAAAATGGATGGAAGAAAAAAAATTTTCATTAGCAAACATGGATAGAGCTTTAAAAAGTCTTATGGCCCACGTATAACTTGTTCCATTTGAAAAAAAACACTTGGAAACTTATCTGGGGGGCTAGACTGCTGGATAATTTATTTTAGTAATGCTACAACTTTGTGGGAGCATTCAGATTCTAGTATCTTTCCATCATCTGACAGTGAACAAAAGCCACGTGGTTGACACTCTTGTTGTAACTACCCACAACTGCACTCACTTGGGGACCTGCTGCAGAAAGCACTGGTAACCAGGTGTGCGCTTGCCATAATCTATCTGCTTTTGCCGCCGCTGTAGGACAATTGCATCTGTCTCTACCTCCCACCTGTGAGGAAGTAGACAGTCGTCCCATGAAGTGTGATGATGGTCATCAAAGCGGAAACCAACTCTTCCCACATTCCCTTAATCCCCAGCCTGATTGTCAAACTCACCTGGCATGGCAGGGCTCTGTACTGACTCCCACACTCACCATCTCTATCCTAGAGGATAAAGACTCTTCACGCACCTCCTTTCTGGGGAAGCAGATTATACAGATGAAAAGGGTATTAGGATAAAACCCAGCTACTCTCAGCCACTACCACTACCAAGATCCTGACACCAGATAAAGGTTGTATTTCTCACTTACTGTCTCTCAAAGATAAAGGCTGCATTTCTAATTCGTTTCTCAAAGTGTGGTCTGCAAGCCGTCTGCCTGGGTAGCACCTGGGGGCCTTGATAATTCCTGAGCCCTACTCTAGCCCTACTGAATTATCACTTTGGGAACATGTATTTTAAAGAGCTTCCAAGGTTGTTTTACACATTTTTATGGAAAATTTCAAATATACAAAAAGAATAGCATAATCTCCTGCAACTCAAAGTATGGTCCCAGTACTAGCTGCGTTAGCATCAGCTGGGAGCTTGTTAGACGTTCAGAATCTTGAATTCTTACCCAGATCTACTGAATCAGAATATGTATTTTAACAAGATCCGCAGGTGATTAGTATGAGGATAAAACTTTGAGAGCACTGATATCATGTACCCCCTAGCTACCCATCACCCAATACTCACGGCCAATCTTGTTTCACCTATACTCACCACCACTCCCACAGGATTATTTAAAAGCAAATCCCCAACATTAAGAATAAATTCTTAGTATCACCTAGTCAATGTTCAAATTTCCATAAACAACCAGTTTGGGATCCTCTGGACTGTGATAAGGATTACGCCAAGAGATGATTCAACTCTCCTACTTTCCTTGAAAAGGAATTCCCTTTACCGCATATAACCTAGCGTCTCAGATGCTGCGCGCTTAAAAGGGACACCGACCCAGGAAAGCTCTTGGAAGGGGCCAGTGCTACTCATTATAAATACACGCACCTGTCTCGCCGCAACATCTGCCACACGGGCGGCAAATGTTCCATCTACAGGGGAAGGCTAGCAAAACTAAGAGGGAAAGGTCCACGTAACGATACGAGAAAGAAGCAAGGGGAAAAAACAAAAACAAAAAACGTTTAAAGCACCCTCCCACCTAAATTAATTTCTCCAGGTATTATCCTAGGGAGTGGTCGTCGCTAGCAATTTAAATGTCCCGGGGCTGGAGGGGCTGAAGGAAAGGAGAGCTCAGAAAGGGTGTGGTGATAGGCCAGAGGGAGAGCCAATGAGGCGCCAAACTCCCTGTGGGGCGGGGTTTAACTCGGGCCTTGCCGAAAGCTGGTGGGCCAATCGGCAGCCCTCTGGGCTGCGGGGCGGGGAAAATCTCGCTCCTTCCGGAACAGTTCACGCCCCCCGGGTGCTGTACGAGGCAAACGATTGGCAGAGGTGTGTGTGGGGGCGGGAGTGTCTAGGCGAGTGCGCGGAGATTGGCTGGCGCAGCTTAGAGGCGAGCGGGATAGGTTATTGGGCGGGCGGAAGGTTTGAATGGTCAAGGCCTATGGCTGTTGATCTTACTCTGAGGCTGTAACTTCGACAGTCCGGTGAGAGAAGCGGAGAAGGCAGGCTCCAGCCTATCTGGTCGAGAGGCATAGCTGTCGTCTGGTTAAATCTCATCCTTTCCCCAGATTTCCTTGAGTTCTGCTAGAGTCTTCACTTGTGTGTGATTTCCTGCCTACTTCTCTTCCTCCTGAAGGCAAGTCTCAGACTCAAACCTGAGGTAAGCCCAGAGCTGTGTCCTCCTTGGAATCACGGGCCTCGCAAACAGAGGTTAGGGGGACAAAACAGGCATTATCGCGAGTTAGGAGACCTGAGTACCTTCCTGTCAGGAGTCACGAGCTATGTGGCTCCTAACAAGCCCAGGTCCTCTTTTCATTCCATCTTTAAGGTCCTGAGGTTGCCTTTCGGTCAGTTCAGGTTCCGCTGGAAAGGCCAAGCCGCTTCGGCAAGTGCTATTTAATCTTAAAGCCAAGATGTGGTTCACCGTTTAGGAATGCCCCCTCCTTAATATTGATCCGCTTGGTCGCTGCTGGAAAGGGTGGAGGAGGTTCTGACAGCTAGATCATCTGTGATGTACCTGTGTAGATGACGTTCTCCCTCTCTTAGCTACGTTTTATTTTTTCTTAGTGAGAACTCGGAGACCATGTCTGCAGAATTCTTTTCATCTACAAGAGAGGAGGGAAGCCCTGGCTCAGGACCTAGTTTTAGGTCCAATCAGAGGAAGATATTAAACCTGCTCCTGGAGAGAGATACTTCCTTTTCCATCAGTTCAGATCTCCCTAGAACCCCAGTGGAGAAGAAACTTTTTGGTGATTCTGCAAACCTAAGCATTTTGTCTGGGTAAATCCACTTTTTCTTTTCACACCTTATCCCCTTTGCTCTTCTAAACAGTTTTTGGGTTTTTAAAAATTATCCTGGCTCAGAGATCAGGGTTTAAGTCTTAGCTCTGCCCTTGACTAGCCATGTGACCGTTTTGAGTCTCAGGCTTCTTTTCTGTGACATAATATCTTACTAGGATCTTGTGAGAATCAAATGATGTGATGTCTGGGAAAAGTCTCTGAAAACTTTATTGCATTATATGAGTTTCCACTTACTAGTACTACTGTTAACGTTACTGTTACTGTACTTCAAATTCTGGTCATGCTATGCCCTGATGCGTCAGCTAATCAACAAAGTTGGAGAATCACAGATCAGAGAAGTACTGGAGACTCCAGGGAGAAATCAAATCTGTGTTGTTATGTTGCTCAGGGCAAAAGATGTGTGGTCAAGACCCACCTCAGGCAATTTTTAAAAATTCCCTTGTCTCAATATGTTGGTGAGGAGAAAATGAGGTACAGATTACTAGGGAAGAGAAAAGGTGGGAGATTTTTCTCAGCCTAATCTGAAATACTTCCAAAAAACAATTAGCTTTATTTGGACACTGCTCAGATTATGTGATAGTCATTGAGGGGTGTTTCGAATGAAGAGGATAATGTGATCTTTGCCTTTTAAGGATATTACAACCTAATGGGAATCTTGATGTATTATTATGTCTCAACAGAGAAACCCCAAAACGTTGCCTTAATCTTTCGAATCTTAGCAGCGGGGAGATGTCTGCCACTCAGTTTACTACTTCTTCAGACCTTGATGAAACTGGTAGGGAAAAGGGAGGTAAAAGCCTCAAGGGAAGGAATAACTGTTAGGGGTGAGGCCAGAGTAGTAGGATAGAGATGGAAGGTGGTAAAAGTAAATAGAGAACCTTGAAGATGGAATTCTTTGAGTACCTAGAGGATTTTTGAGGAGAATGATTCAGCCAATGGGAAGAGAATTGACCCCAATAGGAGTCACTTTGCATTGAGAAAGTTAGACAAGAAGGAATATTTTGTTGGCTGGTTGTGGGAATGAAAGTGGTAGTTAAAGATGAAAAGTTTTATGCCCTAGTCTAATCTCAGCAGAGGCAAAGAAACCAACATAAAGAAGTACTTTGTCAACTAATTCTTATGTGTTTTTATAGGGTGTGTACCCCAAAGGAATGTGTTTTACTAGTCAACCATTTTAGTATTTGTTCTGATTTCGCATTTCCTGAGTGATAAGCTTTCCTTTCTACTCATGGAAAACATCTCTGTGGTTTAGCATAATGCACTGCTAATCAGAATTTTTTTCTTTCTGTGACACATGTAAATTCTTAAATTTCCATGAACTTGTACCTTATACCATGGTACCTTGTACCATGAAACTGGTACCTATCAAGAGCCTTTGTGTTCACAAGGCCAGCTTTTGAAATTAATATGGCTCACTGGTAATGAAGAAAATGAGAAGGAAAGACAAAATGCATGGACAAGAATAACTCTTCACATCTGATTGCAGGTCACTTGGATTCCACAGGACCTGAGGAAATACAGTTAGCTGGGATGTAAGTTCTTTTGCGAAATGAACCCCATGCTAAAACCTTTTCAACACTGGCCTGGGGATTTTATCCTATGCAGACTCTGTAGAGTAGAGAATGTTTCACTTTAGATGTAAATGGGCTTGGGGGCCTAGATTCTTCCCTTATAATGTTTTTAAGTTTCCAAGATCTAAATTGTGTTGTGAAAATGAAGGCTATTCATTTTAACCATCACATACAATCAGTATTGTCTTTAGAATGGAGGACAATGGTATACTGCACTTAGACGGAGTATATATATCTTAGTGGTTGAAAGTGTAGAGTGCAGGCTCTGGAATCAGAGTGTCTGGATTCCAGTGGCTTACTACTACTTCACCAGCTGACTCTGACAAGTTTCTTAATTTCAAGGGACCTCAGTTTCTTTATTTGTAATAAAGAAATAATAATAATGGAGATAATAATAGCACTTTACATAAATGGCTGCTGTGAGGATTAAATGAAAATGTGTACCTAATGCATACCATACATTTTATAATGTTCATTATTATTACTGTTGAAGATTCTTTGTTGGAGATCTTTTTTTTAAAATTAATCTATTAATTAACTTTTGGCTGCGTTGGGTCTTCGTTGCTGCGTGCGGGCTTTCTCTAGTTGCGGCGAGTGGGGGCTACTCTGCGTTGTGGTGCACGAGCTTCTCATTGCAGTGGCTTCTCTTGTTGTGGAGCACAGGTTCTAGGTGCGTGGGCTTCAGTAGCTGTGGCATGCGGGCTCAGTAGTTGTGGCTTGTGGGCTCTAGAGCGCAGGCTCAGTAGTTGTGGCTTGTGGGCTCTAGAGCGCAGGCTCAGTAGTTGTGGCGCACAGGCTTTGTTGTTCCTCAGCATGTGGGATCTTCCTGGACCAGGGATCAAACCCGTGTCCCCTGAATTGGCAGGTGGATTCTTAACCACTGAACCACCAGGGAAGTCCCGTGTTGGAGATCTTAAAATGTTCAGAGTACTCAGGACTGAAAAGTAATTTTAATTCAACTTCTTAAATTTATCATAAATTTTCCATTTGACTGTTTTAATCTTTTTATAGTATTATTCTTCGATGTTTAGATGAATTAGGTGCCACTTTCATGCACTAGGGAAGGCTTTCCATGAGTATTTTTAATCAATACATGTGAAAATTTTACTTTATATTGCCTGTATTTTCTTTGAATTGTTTATATGTCCTAACCCAGGTAAACTAGATAAAATCTGGAAAGGGAGGATAGAAATTCATAAAAAAATAAATATTAACTCCCAATAGTCAATGCTGAAAAATTAGTAAATTGTAAATTGTGTCTTCATAAGATGTAGGACAAACTCTTCATCTTTGATGCATATCTATATATATGGTTATGCCAATGAAATGAGGTCCTTATCCCCAGGATGTCACTCAGTGTCTTGATATTTACCACAGAGAACACCCTACATATTGTTATTGGAAAAGACATATCAACTAGGTACAGGTCTCCTAGAATGGAAGAAAGGAAAAGTGGGATGTCCCAAGCCACTGAAGAATAACCAAATCCTATTTGGGGTTTAACTGACTGGCAGTTTTTTTTATCTACAGGAATTATCACCAACACCTTGTAAAATGCAGCCCAGTGAGTAACTCATCTTTCTTGGGTCTGAGTTTGTTTGTCAGGTGGGAAGCAGAGGGCTTCCAGCTTACCTGTGGCTTGAGGATGCTGGATGTTCTCAGAAAACAATCTCTTGTAGGCACAGCTGCTTTGTAGCACTCCGAATGCTTTGGACCATGGCCACAGGAAGAAAGATGCAATATGTAGCTCATCTGCAAATAAAGAGAATGTGAGTGTTTTAATGGAAACCTAGATCCATTAGCAGTTTTCTTCGTTTGAGTGGAACAACTAACTCATCAGTATCATTATGAGACCTAGAGCTGTTTGTGCCTCAGTATGCTAGACAAGCAAATTGCATCACTATGGAAAAAAAATTCTTTATGGTTTGTTTTGTTTTTACCCTTTAAGGTTTGATCCTAGCTCCAAGTCTTCCACAGCAGTTCATCATTATTACTCATGTTCAGTTGATTGCAGTGTAAGGAATTTAGGACATTTTTTCTTTTTTAAACAGATAGGGATAACTTACATAACTTGTTCACATATTCTTTGCATGGCTTCATATACAAGTCTAGGTTTCTTAATTTCTTCTTATTTCCCCCTTAGCCCAGCTACTTAGCCCCTATTCTGATGAAGTCATTGTCCTTTTTCCTCTGAGTCTCAGACCGTCCTTCAGTTCCAAGTTGAAACTGGCCTCTCCAAAGCTACCTAATCGCTAAGATAATTCTTCAACTAATCCCATTTTCTAGCCATCCTTTTTCTTTTCCCTGCCTCCCATCCTTTCCCCCAGGTCAGTATCTATAAAAGATAGCTGCTGTTCTTCTTTGCTCACATTGCCTAAGTTATGCCCATGTTTTTGGCTGTTCTAATCAGCTTTTTCTTGAACTACAGTCCTTCTAATCTCCCTTTTATAATCACTTTTTAAAGAATCTCATCATTCCTTCCCCTGTCAGGCTCCCTTTTTCCTCCCTTCATTTGGCTTGTGATCATAAAATTAGTACGCTCCAGAGCAGATCTACACGCCATAACAAATCCAAACCATAATTTGTATTTTCAGGGTACGTGGTCAACCTTGGTTACATATACTGTGTTTTGTAAGGATTATTCATGGCTTCATCAGATGAAATGTTTTTGGCAGGGTCTGCTGACACTTCTCTTCCTCCAGCCAATGTAGTTTTTCTTATGCAGGAAAACAGCACTTCAAAGCCCTTGGAGTGGTGGGTACCCAGGAACCTGACGTCTCCTCTTTTTCTGCTGGTGAGTCACTGGACGTCTTCCTCAAGAGTCAACTGAGGTATTGTGGGGTAGAGGATGATAGATCTGGATTTATGCCCCTTTGAATTTTTCAAAGCTGACTTGGGTGAGAAAAGAGGTTGGAGAAGTAACCTTTGAGCAGGGAAAGGGAGGAGATGTCCTCTGATCTTTTTATTCATTTAAATTTAAGGAGAAGAAAAAATTCTCAGGCCTTTTAAAAAATTTCCCCTTTATTCTTTAAGTGTTTCCGCTCCCCCTTCCCTGATTTTAAAAGTACTATGTGCCCATTGTGAAAATGGTATAAAAATAAACTACAATGAGATATCATCTCACACCGGTCAGAATGGCCATCATCAAAAAATCTACAAACAATAAATGCTGGAGAGGGTGTAGATAAAAGGGAACCCTCTTTCACAGTTAGGGGGAATGTAAATTGATACAGCCACTATGGAGAACAGTATGGAAGCTCCTTAGAAAACTACAAATAGAACTACCATACGACCCAGCAATCCCACTGCTGGGCATATACCCTGAGAAAACCATAATTCAAAAAGAGTCATGTACCACAGTGTTCACTGCATCTCTATTTACAATAGCCAGGACATGGAAGCAACCTAAGCGTCCATCAACAGATGAATGGATAAAGGAGATGTGGCACATATATACAATGGAATATTACTCAGCCATAAAAAGAAACGAAACTGAGTTATTTGTAGTGAGGCGGATGGACCTAGAGTCTGTCATACAGAGTGAAGTAAGTCAGAAGGAGAAAAACAAATACTGTACGCTAACACATATATATGGAATCTAAGAAAAAAAATAAAAAAGGTCATGAAGTACCTAGGGGTAAGACGGGAATAAAGACACAGACCTACTAGAGAATGGACTTGAGGATACGGGGAGGAGGAAGGGTAAGCTGGGACAAAGTGAGAGAGTGACATGGACATATATACACTACCAAATGTAAAATAGATAGCTAGTGGGAAGCAGCGGCATAGCACAGGGAGATCTGCTTGGTGCTTTGTGACCACCTAGAGGGGTGGGATAGGGAGGGTGGGAGGGAGGGAGACGCAAGAGGGAAGAGATATGGGAACATATGTATATGTGTAACTGATTCACTTTGTTATAAAGCAGAAACTAACACACCATTGTAAAGCAATTATACTCCAATAAAGGTGTTTAAAAATAAATAAATAAATAAAGGAAAATATAAAAAAGAAAATAGCTACATCATAGAGAAAAACCACTATTAACATTTTACCTCATTTCTTTCAATCTTTTAACCATGTGTACAGTTTTACAAAGTTGAGGTCATATCATATATATAACTTCATATCCTGTTATTTTAAGTTAATATTAAAACTCTTAGTAAACATTACTTTTTAAGGGATGCTTTTATTCTAACACCTATGTACAATACTTCCCGATTGTTGGACACTTAGGAGTATCCACATTTTGCTTTTACAAATAATGCTATCATATAAGTTCTTGAGCACAAATTTTTGCCTATGTTAAAAATTTTTTTATTTAGGATTAGTACCAAGACACATAATTACTGGATTAAAGGGTTTAAATATTTTTTAAGATTTTTGATACATATTGCCAAATTCCTTTCCAAAAAAAGTTCTAAGAATTTACGTTTTCAGGAGCAATCCATGGCTCATTTGGATAATTTGTTATCACTTTAAAAAAATTGCTAATTAGATGGGTAAAATGTTTTATTTTATGTTAAAAATAATTAGTAATGATTTCATGTGACTATTAGCCGTGTATATTTTCTCTAGTGAATGATTGTGTCCTTTGTCCATTTTGCTACTGGAGTCTTAAGTTACCCAGGCACTCACTTGTTGGGATTTTTTCTTCTTTTTTAAACTGAAGTACAGTTGATTTACAAGGTTGTGTTAGTTTCAGGTATACAGCATCACTTGTTTTTTTTTGTTTGTTTGTTTTTTTCTTGCGTTATGCGGGCCTCTCACTGTTGTGGCCTCTCCCATTTGCGGAGCACAGGCTCCGGACGCGCAGGCTCAGTGGCCATGGCTCACGGGCCCAGCCGCTCCGCGGCATGTGGGATCTTCCCGAAACGGGGCACGAACCCGCGTCTCCTGCATCGGCAGGCGGACTCTCAAGCACTGCGCCACCAGGGAAGCCCGCATCACTTGTTTTTAATAGACTATGGACTTAAGATACTCCAGAGATTTGGATTCTAATCTCAACACTTTGGGAAAGCCATTTTAACATATCCCATGCTTAGTAGATAAAGCTGATCATGTTTCAGATTTTTGATTCCTTGGAGTAGGGGAAGACTTGGAGCATGGTAAATTACTATATAATCTTCTGTATATGTGTGTGTGATTTTTTTTTTTAATGTAGTAAAATATACATAACATTTACCATCTAAACCATATTTTTGTGTACAACCAGTGGCATTAAGTACATTCACAATGTTGTACAACTATCAGCATTATCCATTTCAGAATTTTTTCATCCTTCAAAACAGAAGCTGTCTACCCATTAAATAATAACTGTGCTTTTCTCCCTCTGGTAACCTCTACTCTCTTTTCTGTCTCTGTGAATTTGACTACTCTAGGTACTTCATGTAAGTAGAATCATATAATATTTGTCCTTTTGTTTCTGGCTTATCTCACTTAGCATAATGTCTTCAAGGTTCATCCGTATTGTAGCATGCATCAGAATTTCATTACTTTTTATGGCTGGATAATATTCCATCATATGAATATACTGCATTTAGTTTATCCATTAATCTGTTGATGGACATTTGAGTTGTTTACACCTTTTGGCTATTGTGAATAATGCTGCTGTGAACATTCGTATAAAAATATCTTCAAACCCCTGGTTTCATTCTTTGGGGTATATACCAAGAAATGGAATTACTGGTCATATACGGTAATTCTGTTTGATATTTTTGGGGAACCACCATACCGTTATCCATAGCGACTGCACCATTTGACATTTCCCACAGCAATGTACAAGGGTTTCAATTTCTCCATATCCTTGCTGACACTTGTTATTTTCTGGGGTTGTTTGTTTGTTTGTTTGTTTAGTAGTAGCTATCCTAATGGGTACAAAGTAGTATCTCATTGTGGTTTTGATTTGCATTTCCCTAATGACTAGTTATGTTGTGTATCTTTTCATGTGCTGATCGGTCATTTGTATATCTGTGGAGAAATGTCTATTCAAGTCCTGTTTGCTTCTGTTGTTATTGTTGCTATTGTTGTTATTGTTGCTGTTGTTGTTGAGTTGTGGGAGTTCTTTATATATTCTGAATTTAATCCCTTATCAGATATGTGATTTGCAAATATTTTATCCTTTGGGTTGCCTTTTCACTTTTTTGATAGTATTCATGTGATTTGCAAATATTTTATCCTATGGGTTGCCCTTTCACTTTTTTGATAGTATTCTTCGATGCACAAAAGTTTTTAATTTTGATGAAGTCCAATTTATCTATTTTTTCTTTTGTTGCTTGTGGTTTTGTGTAATATCCAGGAAATCATTGCCAAATCCAAGGTTGTAAAGCTTTCCTCCTATTTTCTTCTAAGAGTTTTATAGTTTTAGCTCTTATATTTAGGTCTTTGATTCATTTTGAGTTAATATCTGTATGTGGTGTAAGGTAAGGGTCCTGGATAGTTTTTAATATTGTCAGTATAATTCATAGGACAATGGAAACTTGGTGGAAAGTGAAATGAAACATCTGGACAGTCCTATTACTACAGTTTCAAAATTAGATAAAAATCCAGAGCTAGGAGAAAACCAGACAGAGGAGATTTCAGATGAATTGATGGAGTTTTCTCTGGAAGATCAAGAAGAGGCCAAGGTAAAGTACCCTCTGATGGTGTCTTTGCATTTTTCAAATTCCTTTATTCTTTTTAATTAATTAAGTTTTTGCCTGCGTTGGGTCTTAGTTGCAGCACGCGGAATTTTTCATTGTGGCGGGTGGGTTTCTTTCTAGTTATGGCATGCGGGCTTCTCTCTAGTTGTGGTGCACAGGCTCCAGACCATGTGGACTCTGTAGTTGCGGCGCATGGGCTTAATTGCCCTGTGGCATGTGGGATCTTAGTTCTCCAACCAGGAATCAAACCTGCATCCCCTGCATTGGAAGGTGGATTCTTAACCACTGGACCACCAGGGAAGTCCTAAATTCTTTCATTCTTAATAGTATTGTGTATCTAATATGTTGCAGCCACTGTACTATGTGATAGGTCTGCAGAGATCAAGAAGACATGGTCTCTATACTCTAAGGGCTACCTGACTGATAGGGTATCAGGTCATCATGGGACTCTTATTACTGCTGGGTGAGAAGGTTCGTTAGCAGTTTGAGTAGATCACCATCAATGTAATCTTGTGTAAGTGATGCCTCCAGAATAATAGTAATAGATGGGATATACTTAGCATGATTTTTTAGGTATTTTACAATATATATTTTTGTCTTTTATCCTCCCCGTATCATTGAGAGGAATATCTGAAGCCTGTAGCTTATTGGCGATGTACTGAAATATCAAAGACAGTTTCTGAGGCAGTTAGATTTTCTGAATCAACTTCATTTCTTTGAAACAAATATGTGTAGGGGTGTTTTTTGTTTTTTGTTTTGGCCTTGCCTTGTGGCATGGGGGATCTTCCCCAACCAGGGATTGAACCTGCACCCCCTGCATTGGAAACACGGAGTCTTAACCACTGGACTGCCAGGGAAGTCCAGGGGGTGTGTTTTTTAAACTTATTCATTTTACAAGGTAATATGATATAGCTGAGTTAGAACCCTTGGATTCTGGTCCTCATTCTCTTATGTAGTGTTATGACCATGAACAAGACACTTAACCACTCTAAGGCTCAGTTTCTCAAATATAAAATGGAGAGCATAATGATAATAAACACTTCCACAAGAGAATCATTGTTAATATGATAAAGTATTAAAAGCAGTTTGTAATAATATACCTACTTTATTATTGTTAATAAAAACTAGTATAAGCTGTTAACAATATTCAATAAGTATTTATTAAGAGGCTGGTACGCACCAGGTGCTGTGCTAGAACTAAGAACAGAGTCATGATTAAGATGGACAAGATTCCTAATTTTCATGTAGTTCCTATTTGTATTTTTTCTAGTCAAGAAGATAGATAATGCAAGTAAGTCAATAAACAAGATAATGATTGTCAAAAGTGCTGTGAATGGCAGAGTGATAGGAAAACAGGACCTAGGAGTTTGGGATGGTACTACTTTTAACTTCAATCTGAGTAACTGGAGAAATGGTGACACTGTAATGAATTTGAAAAGAAACGTGAATTCAAAGGGAATAAGATGTGTTCAGTTTTGGACATTTCAGTTAGAGGCAATAACAGGAAGCTTAAATGGAAATACTGAATGAGGAATTGGAATCATCAGGGCTGGAAATGTATGTTTCAGAACCATCTGCATAGAGGAGAAAATGAAGGCTAGTGACTCCAAGTTTAAAAGCAGAGAGAAAGTTTGTGAAGAAGGAGTAATAGCCACTGAAGAGTCTAATAATGAGGTAGATACATAACAGGAATAACATCATTCAAGGATCAGAAAGGAGAGATCTAGGGCACAGAGGTGTCAATTTTATTTTCATCACCCCACACAGACATTCTTTGTAGAGTTGTATAGTTTTAGCTCTTAAATTTGGGTCTTGTTCCATTTTGAATTAAATTTTGCTTATGGTGTAAGGTAAGGGTCCAATTTCATTCTCTTGCATGTGAATATCCAGTTTTCCCGGCCCTATTTGTTGAAAAGCCTGTCTTTTCCTCATTGAAAGGTCTTGGCACCATTGTCAAAAAATTTGACTGTGTATGTGAGGGTTTATTTCTGGACTCCCTATTCTATTCCGTTGGTGTAGGTATATCTTTACAGAACCATAGTTTCAATTACTGTAGCTTTGTAATAAGTCATTTTATATATTTTCTTATTTCACAAAGTATATTTGAATATATTCTCCTTGAAAGAAAATTAGGGTTAATTAGCCTTGGGTATTATGTTTTTCTGACCACCATTCCCAATCCTGATTGAAGGATGACTTTGAGATTATTTGGGGTTAGAGGGAAAAGTGAAGAGCATGGGAGTCAATAGAGCATATTGGTCTAAAAAGTATGGACTCTAGAGCCAGACTGCCTGGGTTCATAGCTTGACTCTGCCACTTTTACCTGTATGGGTGAGTCATATGATCTTGCTATGCCTCAATTTCTTTTTAATTAATTAATTAATTAGTTTGTTTGTTTGTGGCTGCATTGGGTCTTCGTGCCTGTGCGCAAGCTTTCTCTAGTTGTGGCGAGCGGGGACTACTCTTTGTTGCGTGCTCGGGCTTCTCATTGGGTGGCTTCTCTTGTTGCAGAGCATGGACTCTAGGTGTTCTTCCTATGTTTTCCTGTAAGAGTTTTATAGTGTCCAGTCTTACATTTAGGTCTGTAATCCATTTTGAGTTTATTTTTGTGTATGGTGTTAGGGAGTGTTCTAATTTCATTCTTTTACATGTAGCTGTCCAGTTTTCCCAGCACCACTTATTGAAGAGACTGTCTTTTCTCCACTGTATATTCTTGCCTCCTTTATCAAAGATAAGGTGACCATATGTGCGTGGGTTTATCTCTGGGCTTTCTGTCCTGTTCCATTGATCTATATTTCTGTTTTTGTGCCAGTATCGTACTGTCTTGGTTACTTTGTAGTGTAGTCTGAAGTCAGGGAGCCTGATTCCTCCAGCTCTGTTTTTCTTTCTCAAGATTGCTTTAGCTATTTGGGGTCTTTTGTGTTTCCATACAAATTGTGAAATTTTTTGTTCTAGTTCTGTGAAAAATGCCCCTGGTAGTTTGATAGGGATTGCATTGAATCTGTAGCTTGCTTTGGGTAGTGGAGTCATTTTCACAATGTTGATTCTTCCAATCCAAGAGCATGGTATATCTCTCCATCTATTTGTATCATCTTTAATTTCTTTCATCAGTGTCTTATAATTTTCTGCATACAGGTCTTTTGTCTCCTTAGGTAGGTTTATTCCTAGATATTTTATTATTTTTGTTGCAGTGGTAAATGGGAGTGTTTTCTTAATTTCACTTTCAGATTTTTCATCATTAGTGTATAGGAATGCCAGAGATTTCTGTGCATTAATTTTGTATCCTGCTACTTTACCAAATTCATTGATTAGCTCTAGTAGTTTTCTGGTAGCCTCTTTAGGATTCTCTATGTATAGTATCATGTCCTCTGCAAACAGTGACAGCTTTACTTCTTCTTGTCTGATTTGGATTCTTTTTATTTCTTTTTCTTCTCTGATTGCTGTGGCTAAAAATTCCAGAACTATGTTGAGTAATAGTGGTGAGAGTGGGCAACCTTGTCTTCTTCCTGATCTTAGTGGAAATGATATCAGTTTTTCACCATTGAGGACGATGTTGGTTGTGGGTTTGTCATATAAGGCCTTTATTATGTTGAGGAAATTTCCCTCTATGACTACTTTCTGGAGGGTTTTTATCATAAATGGGTGTTGAATTTTGTCGAAAGCTTTCTCTGCATCTGTTGAGATGATCATATGGTTTTTCTCCTTCAATTTGGCAGCAGGATTCTTAACCACTGGGCCACCAGGGAAGTCCCTGAGCTTTTCTTTGTGAGAAGTTTTTTTTGGTTGTCGTTTTTAATTATTTTATTTTATTTTTTGGCTGTGCTGCATGGCATGCAAGATCTTAGTTCCCTGACCAGGGATTGAACCCATGCCACCTGCACTGGAAACGCAGAGTCTTAACTACTGGACCTCCAGGGAAGTCCCTGTGAGAAATTTTAAAATTACTAATTTAATCTCTTTATTTTTTGCAGGTCTAGTCAGATTTTGTGTTTTTTTTTGACAATAGTTTTTGCCTTTTTAGGAATTTTCCTGTTTAAGTTTTCTCATTCATTAGAATATAATTGTTCATAGTATACCATTATGATTTTTAAAAATTTATTTATTTATTTATTTATTTTGGCTGAGCCAGGTCTTAGTTGAGGCATGTGGGATCTTTCAGTTGTGGCATGCGGGCTCTTAGTTGCGGCATGCATGTAGGATCTAGTTCCCCAACCAGGGATCAAACCTGGGTGCCCTGCATTGGGAGCACAGAGTCTTACCTACTGGACCACCAGGGAAGTCCCCATTATGATGTTTTTAAAACTCTATATGATTGGTTGTAATGTCCTCTCTTTCATTTGTGATTTTAGTAATTTGAGTCTTTTCTCTTTTTTTCCTAGTCAGTCTAGCTAAAGGTTTATCAATTTTGTCGATTTTTTCAGAGAAACAACTTTTGGTTCTGTTGTTTTTCTCTATTGTTTTTCTATTCTCTACTTCACTGAGTTTTGCTCTAATCTGTCTTATTTCCTTCCTTCTGCTTGCTTTGGATTTAGTTTCTTCTTTAGTGGAGGTTAGGTCATTGACTTGAATTCTTCCTTCTTTTTTATTATAGATATTTACAGCTATAAATTTCATCTAAGCACTGGTTTAGTTGCATTTTTACCTAAGTTTTTGTGTGTTATATCTTCATTCTCATTCATCTCAAAGTATTTTCTGATTTCCCTTGTGATCTTTTTTGGCCCACTGGTTATTTAGGAGTGTGTTAATTTCTTCATATTTGTGAGTTTTCCAGATTTTTTTCTATTATAAATTTCTAACTATTCCATTGTGATCAGAGAACATACTTTATATCACTTCAGTCCTTTAAAATTTATTGAGGCTTGTTTTATGTCCCAGTATATAGTCTATCCTGGAGAATGTTCCATGTGTATTTGAGAAGAATGTATATTCTACTGTTTGTTGGGTACAGTATTCTATAGATGTCTGTTAGATCTAGTTGGTTTATAGTATTGCTTCAGTTTTTGAGCTTTCTAAAAATGGAACCATACTAAATGCGGCCATCACTGGCCTTGCTATTCTCACCAGAGCATTTGTTGTTCCTTCAGCCTGAAACACTCTTCCCCTGGGCAAACATGATTTTCTCCCTCATTTCGGTCTCTTATCTCCACATATGTCACCTTAACAGAAAGGCCTTTCCCGACAAACTTCTAACCCCAATATTTTTCCTGTCTTTTATCCTTCTTTATTTTTTACTTAAGCACTTTTCACTACATGAAAGTACAGAGTATATTTATTTGTTTGTCTCTTCCACTCTCTGATTCACTGCTGTGTCACCTGGTATGTACTTAAAAATTGTCAAACAGGTATGTGAATGTGGAAGTCTAGAAGTAAGAGCAGAAGTCTTGAGAAAAATTTGAGAGTCATCAGCGTAGAGGGAAAGTTTAAATTCATGGGTAGAAAAAAGTCACCTATGGCAAGAGTGAGGAGATTGAAAAAGGGCCAGGTCCTAGCCCTGAATCCAACATCTGTTAGAGGTTTGGTAGGTGAGGAAGCTTGACAAAGAAGAGTGAGAAGGAGCAACAGAGAGGTAGAAGCATCACAGTTCTTTTAGTAAACAGTTGTCTATACTAGGACTAAACTAAGAAACTAGGCTGTGCCATTGAAGCTAAATAAGGGATTAGCCAAGTCAGTGGAAGGCACTGTGAAATTCAGGATGATACATGTCTGATGTGACAAGAAGATTGTTGATAACCTTGACAAGAGCAGTGAAATTCAGGATGTCATATGTCTGATGTGACAACAAGAAGATTGTTGATAACCTTGACAAGAGCAGTAGAGCGGTACAGACAGAAGCCAAGACTATGTGTGCTGAAGAGCATATAAGCCATGAGGAAATGATGATGCCTCCTCAGTTTACAAAGTAATAATTATCTAATTTAACATTTTAATAAAATCTGCAAGTAGAATTGAACTTTTCTCCTTTCTGGCCTTTGCAATGCTTTAAAACTCCCAGATTTGGAAAGTGATCATTGATTCCTTAAACAATGAAAGCCATTAGTTGGTAGATCTAAGACAGCTGGTCCTGGGATCTCCCCTCACCAGCTTCTGGTAACTGGGAAACTTCTAACTGGCTAGGCAAATCTAAAGTATCATCATCATCATTCCTCTATGACCTAGCACTTATACTCCTTGCAATAAGTTGCCATTTGTTTTTATATAAATGTATTGGAAAGTATCTGTCAAAACAGTAGTGGCTGTTTCTGTTTGTTAAAATAGTTTTTTGCTATCGTTTATTTCTGGCTTCTTGTCCTTGGACAATATGAAACCCAAAGAGATGTTTATCACCTTCGTTATCACCATCAGAATAGCTACCAAAAACCTAAAGCTTCAGTGCAACAGAATAGATATTTGAGAAACAGACTCATAAACCAAGACACAAAAGCAATTAAATGGAGAAAGCGTAGTCTTTTCAACAAGTTGTGCTGGAGCAATTGAAAATCCATCTGAAAAACAAAAACAAAAACTTCAATCTATACTTCACACCATATATAGAAATGAGCACAAAATGGATCATGGGCCTAAATATAAAACCTAAAACTGTAAAACAACTGAAGGAAAAAAACAGGAGGAAAATGTGACCTTGTGTTAGGCAAAGATTTCTTAGATGTAATACTAATAAATGGATACATTTCACTTAGTAGATAATTAATTCAAACTCTTTAAAATGAACCCTTAGCTTAATAATTACAGTGTGTTCTAGAGTGGCTCTTTTGGTTAAAAGAAACAAAGATTGCACTAAGTCCAGCAAATTTGAAATTCTGATCTGGCTTCCTCCTGCATTCGTCTCAGGGCAAAACTGAAGTTATATGAAGGGAAGTCTGTCTTGGAGGCTGGGTAGCCTACTCCTCAGTTCTTCGCCACATTTCCTCTACCACCATACCTTTGGTTCATCCATCCATTCATTGGCATCATGGCCTTGACTATATCTCTTGGCTTCTTCCTTTTAATAAAGCTTTGGCTTCTGCTGCTGCCTAATTATTTTGATATTTTCCAAGTTAGACTCCCAGAGAGGGAACCTGATTGGCCCAGGTTATGTTTACATATTCTTGACCACTAAATAGGAGTGTTCAGTTAGCAATATGGTCCAGTCACCAGTGGCTTGGAGTAGGGTTGTGGAGACATAGGGAGATGACTGGCAGGGGTCCAAAGGAAAAGGTAGGTATAGAATGTTGGTATATCAAATGTGAACTGTACCTTCAACTGGTACCATGAACAATGGAGTTTTCCTTAGGACCATGGGTGTGACAAACACTGTAGTGTAGATATAGTTATTGTAAAGTAAAATACTGATGTTCATATTTTCTTCTCCTAGAAACCATTTATTATCAATATGTGTTCTAATTTTGGCTCTTTTATCTCTTATTTAGGAGGTCTAGCACCCTCCTAAATCAATCCATGGCAATTAGTGAGGTGGGTGTATAAAGAAGGAAACAGAGGATAAGAATCTTGGATTAGTTGAAACTTGCCATCAGAGGTCTTTTAATATATCCCCCTGTCTCTGGGTATATAACACACATATCATGCCTTTCAAAGAGACAATTAGTCCGTCCTCCTTTATTAAGTCTATTCCTGGGCCAGCAACTCCCAAGACTAGTTCTTCATGGTATTTAGTCTACTTTTTTCCTGATGGGCTTCATAGTATCAATCCTATAATGGTCATCCTGATATTAGATTCTAGTGTTTTCTTTTCCCTTGCATGATGCTTATTTTGCTATATTTCTTCCCCATTCATCCCCTTTAAGAAGGCTGAATGACATTTTTTCTCTCTCACTCCACAGATTGAAAATATTAAAAAAAAAAATTTTTTTTCCCAGAAAGTTCCAAAAAGTAAGTTTGAATTTGTCCACACAGGAAACTATTTACATAACATTTACATTGTATTAGGTATTATAGGTATTAGGTATAGGTATAAGCTGTATTATAATCTAGAGATGATTTAAAATATACAGGAAGGACTTCCCTGGCGGTTCAGTGGTTAAGACTCCACAGTTCCACTGCAGGGGGCATGGGGTCGATCCCTGGTCAGGGAACTAAGATCCCACATGCCGCGCAGCATGGCCAAAAAATAAATAAATAAAATACAGTATACAGGAGGATGTTCATAGATTATATACAAATACTACCTGGTTTTAAGTAAGGGACTTGAACTCCTCTAGATTTTGGTATCTGTAGTAGTCCTGGAACCAGTCTCTCACAGATACCAAGGGACAACTATATACTCTTGCTTCTTAGTACTTTTTCACCCAGGCTAACTTTTCTGGCTTGTCATCTTCAGTTTTGTCAGGGTTCTTAAATCTTGATTGTCAGGGTCTTGGACTTCCTTGGTGGCGCAGTGGTTAAGAATCCGCCTGCAGGGCTTCCCTGGTGGCACAGTGGTTGAGTCTGCCTGCCAATGCAGGGGACACGTGTTTGTGCCCCGGTCCGGGAAGATCCCACATGCTGCGGAGCGGCTAGGCCCGTGAGCCATGGCCGCGGAGCCTGTGCTCCGCAATGGCAGAGGCCACAATAGTGAGAGGCCCGCATATCGCAAAAATAAAAAATAATAAAAAATAAAAATAAAAATTGCGGAAAAGAATCCGCCTGCCAATGGAAGGGACATGGGTTCGATCCCTGGTCCGGGAAGTTCCCACATGCTGCAGAGCAACTAAGCCCGTGTGCCACAGTTACTGATCCTGTGCTCTAAAGCACACGAGGTACAACTACTGAGCCCTCATGCCACAACTACTGAAGCCCACGCGCCCCAACTACTGAGTTTGCATGCCACAGTTACATGGCACTGAAGTCTGCGTACTGAGCCCATGTGCTGCAACTACTGAAGCCCGTGTGCCTAGAGCCTGTGCTCTGCAACAAGAGAAGCCCCTGCAATGAGAAGCCTGCGCACTGCAACGAAGAGTAGCACACACCGCAATTAGAGAAAGCCCGCATGCAGCAAGAAGACCCAACACAGCTGGAAAAGAAAAATTGTTTTTTGATTGTCAGGGTCTTAGGATCCCATAGAGAAACTATCATATGACTGGAGGAACTAAGCTTGCGTTTGCTTTCTTCTACAAGAATTGTTATATATAAGATGGTCAGGTCGAGAATTTGGCTGGATTTAAAACATCTAGGAGAGATGGAACATCATGCAGTCTGAGGAGAAAGATGTTAATGAGGAGGGGAAGACAGGTTGCTTACCTGGGGCATTGTTTCTCAAACTTGAGTGTTCCTAGGAATCACCTGGGCATCTTGTTAGAGTGCAGATTTTAACTTAGCAGGTCTGGGCCGAAGCCTAACATCTGGGATTCTGCATTTCTAATAAGCTCCCAGGAGATATTCACAATACTGGCCTGCAGACACACTTTAAGGAGCAAGAACCTTGGGGTTTCATATTTCCAAACAGGCATCTGTGAACAGGAGCTGCCTGTATCGCTCCTCTTCGTTGCCAGACAGTTTGAACAGTCCAGGACTGAAGCAGATGGTAAAATTCAGGGACAACACAATACCAGATAAAGTAAAAAAGAAGTATTGTTCTAGCCACAAAGAGCTCAGGAAGGTAAGAAACTTTTTAAGAAGACAGTCTCTTTAATCTTCTATCTCGTCTTCTCCACTTTTCTGGCATGGGGATTGCTTTAGTACATCTTTTGGTCTTCTTCATTACTTTTACTTTTATCTCTTCTACATCTGCATCCATATATAAAATATTTAATAATAAATATGTTATATTATAATTTTGGAAATAATGTCATTGTATTGTCTTCCCAACACTCTTTTTTAAGATCTGAGAAAGTACAAGGGAACTTTGATTGGTAAGGACATTTATTGTTGTTTTATATGCATTCTGAGAGAAATAGCATCCTAGAGCACACTTGTTTGGTGGAAAGCAAATTCTGAAAAACTTAGCCCTCATCCCTTATCCCTCCTTTAAAAAAATCTCAATACATTTGGCTATTTTATAAAATCAGTGTATGACGTTACAGAAAAATGGAAAATGCAGATAAGCAAAAAGAAGCCGTTGCAAAATGCCCATAATCCCACAGGCCAGAGATAATTACTGTTAATACTAGATGTATAGTCTTTCAGACATTTTTTAATGCAAATTTTTTTTCTTTTATTAAAGTGGCATTATAAAGTACATGTTTTCTAACCTATTTAATGATATGTCATATTTTCATGTCAATGAAATTTACAATATACTTTTTATTCCTTAATAGTAATCTGTAGTGTGTGGATATGATTTGTTTAATCAAGATCCTGTTATTGATCATTTATTAGAAATTTTTCTCTGTTGTAAACATCCTTACAGCCAAATCTTTGTACATATCTTTATTTTCTTAGTAAAACAAGTGGAATTATTAGATCAAAGAGTATGCATATTTTTAATGTCTCCCTCCACTCCTTCCGTCCCATGGTTTTTAAACCTTTAATATGAGGACTGGGGGTGGGGGGAATCTTGTTGTCTTCAGGGTTTAGGTATAAAGAAAATGGTCTCCCTCTGTGACATTAATATGACTCAGATGCTGGAGGAAGATTCTAACCAGGGGCCTCTGATTGGTGATTTCTCCAAGGTGAGTTTGGTTACACCAATCCTATATTTCATCCTGTATTTTGGATCTGAATCTTCTCTGCTTGCAGAGGACACTAGGTTTAATTAATTATGCATCTTCACCAAGTACTCACTGATAACCTGAAAGTGCTGTAGTGGTAGATCTAGGCCCTAAACCTTTCATGAGAAAGGATTCCTTATTCATTCTGGGAATATCCAGAGCAGTGGGGAAGATAAGAAGAGGCTTTCTTTTTTTTTTAGCTGTACTGTGCAGCATTCAGGATCTTAGTTTCCCAACCAGGGGTCGAACCTGTCCCCCCTGCAGTGGAAGCGCGGAGTCTTAACCACTGGACTGCCAGGGAAGTCCCAAGTATGAGGCTTTCTACTTTTTTTTTTTTAATATATATTTGAAAATTATGTAAATCATACTTGGTCACTACAGAAAAGATGGAAAATGAAATCTACCCCAAATCTTGTCAGAGTATTATTGCTTTTATTTAATATTTTCTTGGTGTATATTCCTGCAGACTTTTTTCTATGTATTTTCACAAACACACATTCATGTACACAAATACATTTTTTGTTTTTCCATGTTTGTTTTGTGATCTGCTGAGGTTTTTATTCCCTCTCATTTGATGTATCAGGAACATCTTTTCATGTCAATAAACAGTTCTGCTTCATCATTTCATCACTTTTAATAGCAGCACAGTACTTTCTTTCTTTTTTGGCTGCCCATAATTTCTTGATAATTCCTTTCTTGTAGGATATTTACTTCTACAATTTTTCCTTATGCACTGTACCAAGGTGGACATATTTGTAGCTAAATCTAAAACTTTGTACCCATCCGTAATTATTTCCTTAGGATCAGTTCTTAGAAATGAAATTGCTGCATATGCATGTTATAGAGACCATTGATTTCTGAAGGCACCTGAGGTTTTAAATGTCATTTGGAAAGGACAATATATGGGTCATGATCTCAAATTTGGGTATAGAGAACTTGCTGTTATTTCAGCTCTTGGGTATTTCTAGGTATGTGCACTGCCGACCGTGTCAGGGAGACACCAAGATCTGAAGTACGTCAACCCAGAAACAGTAAGCAGATTTCTGGAGATGGTAACTGGTTACATAAGCTACCATCTGGTCTGTTCTGTCCCTAAAATCCCCACTTCCATTTGTATTTATTTCTGTGTTCACTCATATAGGCTCTTTATTCAACTGAAGCTGTATTAAAGGACTCTCTTTTATATGCACCTTTGTTTTTAATTAAACAAATGATATATAATTGTTATGAAAGAAAGGAAGGAAGGAGGACGGGGAAAGGAAAAAAGTAAAAATCACCCAGTTAGGCTGAACTTACATCCTGGTTTACATGTTGCAATCCCGTTTATGCCTATTAGTGTAGGGTAATTATTAATAGTGTTCTCTTTCACTCTCAAAAGTGTCCCAGTTTGTGCAGTAATTATTTGGTCACTCTACCCATAACCTCACCACCAGAAATAAGCACTAATAATACTTTCCTTATGGCCTTACACATTTTATTCTGGCATAAGTTTTATAAAAATAGGATCATAATAAACATGTAATTTTGCAATTAGCTTAGTAAGACATTGTAAACATCTTTCTATAGCAATAAAAAGATATCTATATTATCCTTTTAATGGCTATGTAATATTCTGTTATACTGATAATGTCTAATTTATTTAACTAAACCCCTTTTATTGAGTATTTAAGTTATTCATAGTATTTTGATAATATGAAACAATGGTGAGATGAATATTATTGTGCCCTATCTTTATGTACTTTTCTGTTTACTTAAGATGTTAGAAAAGAAATTGTTGAAAGTGTAATTGCATTTATTTTTATAAGTATTTACAAAGTCCCCTCCAGAAAGGTTGAACCAATTGACATAACTACACGAAGCTTAAGTTTCCTCTTCTGGATATCACCCCTTTCCTTCCATATCCCTTTCGGGAAACTTGCTTTCTAATTTTACGGCGGAGGGTGGGGAATCATTTCTCATTTCTTCTTGTAAAATCAGGAGCTCTAGCTGCTACCTGTGCCCTTACAGAAGTCCTTGGGTATCTTCTCAGAGGCTGACTGCAGCCCTGCCTGCCTCCAAATAAGTAGCCTGAGTGTGGTTTTCCCTGATGTCCTGGCAATACCAGCTATTTTGGTTCTCCAAAAAGGCCATTTCCTATTTTATCCTCTTATGTGGGGTGGGGCTGCATCACTGCCATATTTCAACCATAGGGGGACTTTGGAGGCTGGGCGTACAGTGGAATGCTGTGCAAATCAGGAACTGTGTGACTGGCTCTTCTCTCCCTCAGAAGGAGCAGGATATTCAATCATAGTTTCTGTGCAGGTGGCTGCCTTGCTTTTGGGGAAGTTCCAGGGTCTGATAGAGATATTTTATATCATCGATTGCCGCTATCCATATGAGTACCTGGGAGGACACATCCAGGTAAGGTTACATTGAGGACTTAGTAGGGAAGGGACTGGGGATAGCTCTTTCTTGAGAAGTCTGGACAAAGGGTCCTGTGAACTCTAGAACCAGGGCAGATATTATATATTTGGAGCACATCAAGGCTCAGTCCTCATTCCTGTTCTAATTCTGTGTACTTTGAGCAATTTACTTTCCCTTTCCCTCTTAGACCAATCTCCCTTTTTTCTATAGGAGCCAAGAGCTCCTACCTGGAAGTAAAAACATTCATCCAAGGACTGAGAAGCACTTTGCAAACACTTAATGCTTACAGGCATTCCTCACAATGATCCCTACACTTCAGGCAGTTCCATTCTATAAACATTTATTGAGCACCTACTACATACCAAGCTCCATGCCAGGCCCTGGGGGTAGATACAGGTAGATTGCCTCTCTGAAAGTACTTATAGTCTAGCCTTCCTGAACCAAATATTTCAAGATGGTATTCCAGTTATTTCTAAGTGTTGGCCCTGTTCACAGATCCTTAAGGAAATACTTAATAAAATTCTTTTACAGGGAGCTTTAAACTTGTACAGTCAAGAAGAACTGTATAACTTCTTTCTGAAGAAACCCATTGTCCCTTTGGATACTCAGAAAAGAATAATCATTGTGTTCCACTGTGAATTCTCCTCAGAGAGGGGTCCCCGCATGTGAGTGTCTACACAGGGTAGGGTGGGTGATGGAAATGGATCTTGAGTAGGGACTTACAGCCGGGAAACCTTCCCAGATCAGTTCAGACAGAGACTGAATCAATGAATACTTTCCACTGAAGTTTGAAGAATGTTAGGAAGGTGGAGGAAAGGGGTTTCTACAATTCAAAGGTTGGAAGCAGTGAAGGAAAAAGGATTGGGAATTAGGTACCAGTGGAGCAAAGGAGAAAGAGTGGTGCTACCTGGACCTTGTTTTGCAAAAATAGATCTGGAGTTCCTTTTGAGGGTTAGCAAAAGTCTATTCTTCCTCCCCTTCCCCAGTGAATAGCCCATGGAATCCTGAACTTGCTTTCTTTCCACCCCACCCATCCCTGGATTTTCTCTAAAGGTACCGCTCTCTGAGACAAGAGGACAGGGCTGTGAACCAGTATCCTGCACTGTACTACCCAGAGCTGTATATCCTCAAAGGGGGCTACAGAGACTTCTTTCCAGAATATATGGTAAAGGATGGGGCACATGGGGCAACGGGGGAGCCCAAACTCAGGGAAGCCTACTTTAGCATGCAGCTCCCAGGTCCTGCAAAGCCCTCTGAGAAGAAACTGCTGCTACTTCTTAGCCACTACTTGCAGCATCTCTATTATACCTAGTAGGCAGACTGCAGGCATCAAGAGGATCCCTTACTCTGTCCCCTGCCTTTCAGGAGCTGTGCGAACCACAGAGCTACTGCCCTATGCATCACCAGGACCATAAGGCTGAGCTGCTGAGGTGTCGAAACCAGAGCAAAGCATGGGAAGGGGAGCGGCAGCTGCAGGAACAGATTGCCTTGCTGGTGAAGGATGTGAGCCCATGATATCAGATCACCCACTGGCTGCCTAGGACTCACCAAAAGACACTGTAGAAACCTAAGCAGAAAGAGGCCATCTTCTATGCAGCTAAACCCAAGATGTTAAAAGATGTCAGCAAACCAACAGGCTGCCAAGCTACTGAAATCCCAGGCCTGGGGACTGGTTAGGTGTCAGTAGAGCTCCTGGCTGGTGGGAAGTCCTGGAGCTGGCTCTATAAGGCTGGAGCCTTGGGTTGCATAGAGATTTGTGTTGCTTCAGGGAGCTGTTCCTAACTGCTTGAGTCTCCTCAGAGGTCAGCCACATCTTTTTCCCTGTGGGCTTCTGGCTATGCAAGAGAGAGTTGCCCATCTTCTTTCTCTATATTTTCCTTCTTTGTTTCCCTCTCTCTCCTTTTTTTAAAATGGGAAAATAAACATTGAAGAATGAGAAATGCGATTGTGAGCCCAGTCTGTTCCTAGAAGATGTGTATAAGGAAGTAATCACCACATTAAACTCCTTTGGACAAAGATGTAGCCATCTCTATTCATAGCTGAGGCCTAGGTGCTTTTCTCCAGAACATGGTTCTCAAAGTTTGGGCCCTGGTCCATCAGCATCATCTGAACTTGCTTGAAATGCAAATTTTCACAGCCCACTCCAGACCTACTAAATCAGAACATCTGAGGTTAGGGCCCAGAAATCTGGGTTTTAAAAATCTCCTTTTCAGGTGATTCTGATACATGAAAGGCTTGAGAACCACAGCTCTGGAATTAAGGAAAACCTTTTTAAATTTCATTCTTCAGCAATGTTCCAGGCTTTCCTTTCCTAGACCATTCCATAGTATGAGTTGCCTAAAAGTGTGCCCCAGACTCAACACTCAATGGTATCAAGGCTCAGAAAACCAAAATAATTGCCATTCTCTAAGGCCAAGGGATAGGTCTGAGTTGGGCTCAAAAGGTTCCTTATCTACAGCCTCAATGGAGTTTTGACTTTTCCCATTTTCCAAAGTTCTTTTCTCCACTCCACTTCATGTCTCACAGAGACAAGTTTAGGATTTAGGATGGTTGGAAGTAGAGATCCATGCTATATGAAGATAGGAATAAAAGAAAAGTACCAAGCAAGATCAGTTAGACTTCAGAAAGATATTTTAAATTGCATTCTTCAGTATTATCCCAGGCTTTCCTTTCTTAGAGCTCTTTAAGGTGAGTAGGCTTTTGTCTGTGTAGTAAGGTACAGCCCTACTTGGCCTGGGTGGCCGTGGAGTTAATTGAACATTGTTTTCTCTGGCATTAATCTAGTAGTAGTAATAGCTCAGGACTAGAAAAGGACAAAGGGCTCTGAAGCCTAGACTGACATAGAATGAAGACAAAAATGATATCTTCCCAGCTTCTGGAGCAGGGAGTCTTTTTAAAAGTGAGTGGGAGGGAAGGAGGGCATTAGCCATAGGGTAGCCCAACAGTGTGCCAGAGTGACTGGATTGATTTTTGCGAGGTTTGCAAGTGCTGTTCTCCAGGAATGCTGCGTGCCTGCCTCACAGCAGAGGGCACTGCTGTATTCTCTAAGCCAGCCACTGCAGCCTGCAGCCTCCACTCCTAGCTGGAGCGTGTCTGTCCAGAGGGAGGCTCCCTCTCTGACCTGCCTAAGCCTTTGAGCTCAGAGCTCAGAAGGGCCAGGGGTAAAAAGGAAAGAAAAGCTTCTGCTACATTAGGTGGAGATAGCTGAGGGAAAGATGCTGCTTCCCTGTCCTACTCCACACACTTCCCCCCGACCAAGCAGGAACTTCTAGTTGCCTGAACAGGAAACTGCAGGAAGCACCTCCACTTCCAAGTGTGACGAGGGGTCCCTGACTTACTGCCTAACCTAGTGGGTCATTTCCTGATAATTCTCCCCAAAAAGGTAGAAGCAAGTCACTACCTGGGAAGAGACTGGTGCACAAGTATTCACATTTCAGTAATCTTAAATGGAAATTCTGAGTTGCAACACATAAAACTAGGGCTTAATCAGCTACCTACTTTGTGGAAAATTATATTTGCCTAAAAGGCAACATTTTCCCATATAGTTTCTTGTAATATCTTCCCACTGTATAGGTACCGCATCACTTAATTCATGTTATTTTCAGGGACAATAATAATAGTAGCTAACAACTTTTCAGTTGTTTGCTGCATGCAAGACTTCATGAACTCATTTTATATATATAAACTCATTTTCACAACAATCCTGTGAGGCAAGTATTCACTATTATGCATGTTTTACCAATAAAGAAATTGAGGAACAGAGGGATTGAGTAACTTGTTTTTTTTCTAATTTATTTAATTAATTTATTTTTGGCTGCGTTGGGTCTTTGTTGCTGCACGCGGGCTTTCTGTAGTTGCAGAGAGCAGGGGGCTACTCTTCGTTGCGGTGTGCAGGCTTCTCATTGCGGTGGCTTCTCTTGTTGTGGAGCATGGGCTCTGGGCACGCAGGCTTCAGTAGTTGTGGCACGCGGGCTCTAGAGCATAGGCTCAGTAGTTCGGTGCATGGGCTTAGTTGCTCCACGGCTTGTGGGATCTTCCTGGACCAGGGCTCAAACCCGTGTCCCCTGCATTGGCAGGCGGATTCTTAACCACTGAGCCACCAGGGAAGCCCAAGTAACTTGTTTAAAATCCCACAGTTAATTAATGGCAGAATTGGGATTTGAACCCAGACCGAGATGGCTCCAGAGTCTGTACCGTTAATAGATTTTGCTGTTACCAAATCTTCATCAATGAACAATCTGTCTTTCTAAGTTGGCACTGTATCAGGTGTTACATGTGTAAGAGCCTCAATTGTCGGTTCTTGAGAAGTCAGGGCCATAGGGTTGCTGGGGTTTGAGAAATGAGGCTAAGGGCAGACACTAAGACCCCAGCCCAGGAACCTCCACACGAGGCTATATAGGGGGTTAGCTCTGCTCTGGTGTCCTTGCACTGACTGGTACTCGTTCATCATGAAGTCAAGTAATAAAGAATGGAAACCTTTTAGTCTGAATACTGCTTCCTGCTTGATTCTCAGCCCCAGGACCTGGCTGACCTCTGCTACAGAGAGGGAAGCATTTCCCTTTCCTTACCAGGCCTATAAAGTGGGAGGCGTGGACGATTTTCTTTCCCCGCTCAGTTCAGGCAAATGTTAGGGAAACACCAGTTTCTCTCTAGGGATGTCAATTCTAAGTACCATTGGCATTCAATAATATGACACAGTTCCTGCCCTCAAGAAACTGACAAGGTAGAAAATGATTCTTTTTGTTTTCATCCCTACAAGCACTCTGGCCCACTAGTATATTCAGCAAAAGGAAGAAGAACTAGCCTTAGCTCCAAAGCAGTAGGTCTGGTGGTAGGGGGTGGCTGAGTTCATAGAACAATTAACTCTTGCCTGCCTCCTGGGGTGATATCATTCCGTGTTCACTATGTGCCGGGCACTAAGCTAAACCCTTTACTCAGCGTATACTTGTTTAATCCTCACAATGGTTATATGAAGTGAATGCTGCTATTAATTTTACAGATGAAGAAACTGAAGCACAGAAAAATTAAGTGGCATGCCCGAGATTACCCAGCATGTGTTGGAAATGGCATTTGAAACCAGGTAGTCTGTAAAGCTTGTTCTCTTAACTGTTTTTCACTAAACTGCTAACACCCTGGATTAGCTAAGGATAACAACAGGAATGAAAGCTCAACGGTGAGAGAGGGCTTGATAGAAGGCAGAAAACCAAGATTACAAATGAAAGTGGAGTTAGATACAGAGTCTTGGGACCTTTGAGCCCCAATCAGTGGTTTGTAAGGCCCTCCCAGGGCAGTTTGTGTCTTAATCATTTCTGCACCTGGCACAAAGCTGAACCACCCATAATCAATCTCAAAAGACATTATTGAATTGAATGATGGCTGAGTAACATCTTTGTAGAAAGTATTGGCTCATTTGTCATTACCCACAAGGTTCCCAATGACAATGCTGCTTATCTAGCAGGTGTTGGCAAGTCACAGAGGACATGGTTGGTGGGGAGACAGTGTGCTGGAGGATCTGTCAATATTAGTCTTGGAGTCATATGTATTTGCAGAGGCTTCCACAACCCTCCACTAGTTTTGGTTACCAATCCTCATTAAAGGCCCAGTGATGTCAAGCTCTCCACCGCAGTGCCCAGACAGGAATATGCTCCAAGTATCTCATTTACTCTCAAAAAGAGGCTGGCCTTTTACAGGTGGAATTGGGTATTGCTTTCAGCCCACTGGCTTGACCTTGTTCCTGCCTTCCTGGTCCATTTCGTGGGGAGAGCACTGAGTAGACCCACTGAGTAGGCACCCTGAGCAAATAAATGCCTTTTTCAAAGTTACCCTCCTACCCCAAACTTGATTTGCCTTGGTTGCTGAAGGAGAGAGTGAGCAGAAGTGACACCCCTTGAACACCTCACATCTTTGTTGATTCATAGCACCCTTTCCTAGCATCCCAACCACCTGAAATTGTGACCTTTTGCCTTGTAAATCCCATTTTGAAACTATTGCCAAAGTGAAGTGGAAAGTGGGAGCTGTCAGTTCCCCAGCCACAGGTTTTCTAATCTTACTGGAGGGAAGGACTTGGGAAAGGTACACAGAGGTAGAGTGGAACTGGGGGGAAACAGGCCCTGTACCAAAGCTGAGTAGCCAGATGTTCACTTTCACAGCTCTCCTGTAAGACTGGCAGGACAGATATAGACTAAAATGAAGCACAAACTCCATTTAAAGTGCATTACAGCTCAGGAATCAGCTCCCCCTGGGCAGGAGAAGGGAGAAAAGGGCACAAGAGGCCACATCAGTCTCCTTCCTTATCTAGGACCACATGTCTCTCTCCTAGCTTTGTGAAGGGTGATTTACACCCTGGCTGGAATGGCTGTCTTTCTGGGCTGATTACATCGGCAAATGCCCCCCAGAGGCCACAGCAGGATGGCCATATTCAGAAGCAGCAGCCAATAAATCTCAGAGGTCTATATTGCATTTCTCAGTACCCTCCCTCCTGGCCCTCTGCCAGGTGGGCTGTGGAAGTAGGAGAGGGCTTGGCTGGAGGGTTAGGGGAGGAAACCCTCCAATTCCTTTCATTACCGTCTTCTCTAAGTACTGTTTAGTTCTCATTCTTCCAAGTCATTCTGCCTCTGTCTTTATCCTGGGAGCAGGTGGGAATCAGCTCAATAAATTAGTCTAATAAATACCCTTATCTTTATATGTAGAAGTCCTGGGTTCTCCTGAGTATTTAATCTTGGTAGAGTAGCTTGGTCTCTTAACCATCATCTGAAAATGATGAGGCTCCTAAATGGTCTGTCTAGCCACCTTTCTCAGTGATCTTTTGTCCAGGGAGATCTCTACAATTTAGTCTGAGGGAAGTTTGATCCTTCCGTCCTCCCTCATGACACTGAAGGGGCTGAATTTTGGAGGAGTCTAGGCTAGCAAAGGTCCTGGGATCTGGCCTCAGGTTTGTTCCCAGCAAAGCCATTTCACCTGTCTGGGATCCATCTCTGCAGAATCTTGGGGTTAATAACAACAACCGAATCTCACCCTTGAAGATATTTACGAGGCGAAATGAAATCACAGATGTGCAAATTCTAAAAGAAAAAATATACTTGAAACGCAAGTGCCCTTGTGCGTTTGTTCAAGTTTTGTTATTTCACTTGGGTTGGTTGTTCCTTGGTGGTAGAGGGGGTTCCGGAAAGTGAGACAGGATGCTTTTTTTCTTAATAAATATCTGGACCAAAGAGATGGCGAGTTTCCATTGACAGTTTCCACACCGTCTTGGGTAGAAGTCCTCCTCTAAACGAAGTTTGCGGCCGACAGCATGTGGGCCGGCTGGGGTGGAGCACTCTTCAGAGCCAAAGACCGGCCGCTCCGGGGCGCGTGCCCTCGCTCGCCCTCACCCCAGCCCTGCCGGTCCAGGAGGAGAGTCGACCTGGTGCGTCCGTCCACTTTGGAGTTGAAGGGCGGCGCCCGGGACCCTGGTGGGAGCGTGTTGGAGCCGCGCGCGCGAGGCGGGGCGGGAGACGGTGGTGGGAGGCGCCGGCGGAGGAGCCCCGCTCCCAGAGCTCCAGCGCGAGGGGAGAGGGCGCTCCGCGCCTGGTGCAGGCAGAGCGCCCTGGGACGCCGACAGTCGGCTTGCGC